CACTCCGGCCCCAGAGGCATGGGGCCTGAGAACGGGCCTGGGAGGCGCTGCTGGTGGGAATGGAAGGCCAGCATCTGCCGACCGCCCGCCCTGCTGCCCTCACAGAACACGGAGGCGAGTCCGTGCCTCCTGGCACTCAGCGTCCTCCGTCGCCGGCCCCTCTCCCGCTCCCCTCTTTCCTCTCTGCTGCCCAGGTTAAGTCCCGCCTGAGGGGCAAGCTCACCGAGCTGCAGGCGTTAAAGCGCTTCTGGAACGTTCCAGGGAGTTCAGAGACCTGCACAGAGACTCTCCGGGGTGCGAGGCCCTTTTCATGTTGGACTTCAGTGCTGCTGGCACTTCAGAAAAAGGTAAGACGCTCGCTCGGCCCCCGCGGTCCTTGCGGACGGGGAGACGCAGGAGGTCTTCCAGCTCAAGCAGATCAGAGCCCGGCAAGCCTGTCTGTCAGAGAATGTAACTTCTTCCAAAATACAGAAAGGTAGCCGGTGCCGACAGAACCCCTGGATAGCAGTTCTCACAGCAGCGACACCCTCCAGACAGCCAGCATTTCATTGAAGAAGAAAAGAATTTAAGAACAAACATACTTAGTTTTATGTAACAACACTAGAGGCCCGGGGGGTCCCTTGGCCTGGCTGGTGATCAGGGCCGATCAGGGCCATCTCGTCCAGTCCCAATAGGGGCCGATCGGGGCCATCTCGTCCAGTCCCAATAGGGGCCGATCGGGGCCATCTCGTCCAGTCCCAATAGGGGCCGATCGGGGCCATCTCGTCCAGTCCCAATAGGGGCCGATCGGGGCCATCTCGTCCAGTCCCAATAGGGGCCGATCGGGGCCATCTCGTCCAGTCCCAATAGGGGCCGATCGGGGCCATCTCGTCCAGTCCCAATAGGGGCCGATCGGGGCTAGCCAGCCAGGGAGAGGGACCGAGGGAGGTTGGCTTTCGGAGCACACTGACTACCCAGCCGGCCGGGGGGAGGGACTGCAGGAGGTTGGCTGACTGTGGGAGGTTGGCTGTGGGAGCGCACTGACCACCAGGAGGCAGCTCCTGCATTGATCATCTGCTCCCTGGTGGTCAGTGCGTGTCATAGCAACCAGTCGACTGGTTGTTCAGTTGACCAGTCGTAATGGTCGCTTAAATGGTCGCTTAGGCTTTTATACATATAGATAAACGTTTATTAGAAATTATACAGAATTACCCCATCTACCTCCCTTTCTCACAGGCTGTGAAAACTCATTCTCCCCCAGGACAGTGCCCGGCCTGGCATCCGGCCACCATGGCGTCCACGTCTCTCACGCCACAGGGAGCTGAGGCAGCCATGGGACCCTCTCTGCCCTGGTTGGTGTGGGGCGGGTGTTGGTTGGGTGTCCCATGCACAGAGAGGTGGCAGGGTGGTTCCTGGTCAGGGGACCTGCTGAGGCTGCAGTCTAGATCCCCAGTAGCGGGCGTGCAGGAGTCAAGTGATGGGTGTATCCCTCTCACACCCATGTTTCTCTCTCTCTCCCTCTCCCTTCCTTTCTCTAAAAATCAATACATTTAAAAAAAAGAAAAGAAGAAGGGAAAGGGAAGGGAGGGAAGGGAAGGGAAGGGAAGGGAAATATTGTGAGTCATGGTAGGCTGCCCCCAAAATGTCCATGTCCTTTAACATATTCCTTTACATGACAAAAGAGATTTGGCAGATATGATTAAGCTAAGGATAGTGGGGATTATCCTGTGTTGTCCAGATGGGCTCGATGGACTCACAAGGGTCCTTAGAAGAGGGAGGAGGGAGATGAGAGTGACAGAAAGATGTGACAAGAGAAGCAGAGCTTGGAAATGTGGAGCCAGGAGCCAAGGCTGGTGGGCAATCTCTAGAAAAAGCTGGAAGAGCCAGGAAAGCATCGTCTCTAAAGCCTCCGGAAGGAGCGTGGCCCAGCTGACACCTTGAGTTAGCTCCCTGAGTGAGACTGACACTGGAGTTATGACTCCCAGGAACATAACATCATAAATGTGCGGAGTTTTATTTATTTCATTTCATTATTTCCATCACCGTTTATCCCCTCTGTGTCCTCTTCTTCCACCTCCACTCACCCCTTCCACCTCCTGCAATCTCCACTGTTGTCATGAGTTCTCTCTCTTTGTGTAAACCACAAGGTATGGCAGCAATGGGAAACTAACACAGTTGCCAGAAGAAATGTTTTGGTTGTCGTTAGAATCACTGACAAAGAGAAGTATGCTTGTGCCAAAATAACAGTTTGCATGAAATAAGATAAACCCTTGGTTTGTGTTGTGGTTTTATATTAGCATCACTTTGAGGCCCAAAGGTATGAAAACAATGAGCACTAAGCTTGAAATTTAAAAAGTCGGTCAATTTGGAATTTTACATTCTGAACACTGAAAAACATCATAAGGTGATGCTATTTTTAATATTTTGAAGAGATGCCTTTATATTTTTCATAGTAACTGCATATATTTTACATAGTAACATTCCCATTGGGTGACCCCCTTTTTATCTTCTTCATTTTCCTTCTTACCCTCTATGATCCAGGTGCAATGACCCTCTGCTTTTTTGTTTTTCTTTTTTCTTTATCTTTTTTTTATTGATTTCAGAGAGAAAGGAGAGAGAGAGAGAGAGAGAGAGAGAGAAACATCAATGATGAGAGAGAATCATTGATCGGCTCCTCCTGCACACCCCAGGTCAAGGATCGAGCCCGCAACCCCAGGCATGTGCCCTGACGTGGAATCGAACGGTGACCTCCTCGTTCATAGGTCAATGCGCAACCACTGAGCCATGCCGGCCGGACTTGTTTTGTTTTTCATGCCAACCTCGCTCTTGTTATAAGACTTCTCCACAGTTGTTCTCTCTGCCTATAAAGCTTTCCACCCTGTTGTTTGCTTGACTGGCTCTTTCTGATCATTCACCTTAGACTCTACCAGGTGATACCTTCATTGGTGAGTCAATTACTATGCCACCAGCCTGGCACTTACCAAGATCTCATGATTTCCTTGTTTATTCTTTCATTTTTTTATTTTGTGGTCTTACCTTCTTGAAATTATATCCCCCTACCTAGTCCTATAATGCTATGACTGGGACATAGGCAATCCACAGCAATTGTTGAAAATTCACAGGGATTAATCTGATAAATTTCCTAGTGTGTTATATGTGAACATTACTCATTAGTGGAAATCTGTAATCACCACTGAAAGAATAATAAATGTTCTTTAGAAACAAATTAAACTAAAGATCCATAATTTCATCGTATCATCAAGAATGGCAGTTGACCTACTTATCTTAATAATTCAGACTCCCGTAGAAATTTTGGGCCTCATTAATTAGCATATTTCAGGCCAAATGTGTTCTTTGGTTTCAAGTGATTTCAATAATTGCCTTAATACTTATCTATGCCTTATATATGCACTCATTGCCCTAGAGGTACTTGTGAAATCTTTCATGTACTTCTGAGTGGCAAATTTCAGTTTCAGCCCCCAAAGAGTATTCGGGTCACACACCTTCCACAGCGGATTTTCTGAGTCAATGTTTTATAGTTCATTCTAGTAGTAACTGTTTTCATGCTTTTTAACATCATCTGTGCTGGAGAAAATCACTCACATAGTAGTTTAGGGAAAATTTTCATTTCTGTCTTTATTTTAAGAAGTGAATAGGAGAGCACAAATGGGCTATTTTGAATTATGAACAATCTCCTAACACATGTATCCATGCCTCTGTTTCTGTTTTGTTCGTCAGTGTATTTTGTTCATTAGATTCCACATATAAATGAATATGGTATTTGTCTTTCTCTGACTGGCTAATTTAAATATTAAACCATCCCTTTCATTTATCTTATTATTTTACTTAGGGTTTATAGTGGAAAATCCTTCACAGACATTGTGTTTTGCTGTAAAGGTTTATATCCATGTTTTGAGATTTTTTTATGATGCCTTTGCATATTACATCACAGGCTTCTTCAGGACAAAGAATAGTGTGTCTCTTTTTGGTTCACAAATGGGAATCTTTGAATAAAAAGGCATCTTTAGAAAATTCTGTTGATGTGTCTTTAGAATGTAGCATCTTTTGAGAAGCTGTTAGTACAGTATCTATTTTTAAAAACTTGAATAGAAGACACTTTCATATATCACTTAAGCTAGAAGTGTGTGTTGATGGTAGATAATATTGGAAGAGATCACATCTCCTTTTGCTATTACATCAAGGAGAAAATATACTGTACTATTTCTTTTAATCATAAAATTCTCTTGCATAATTTGACAAATGTTACCATTAGACATTTTCAGTTAGGAAAGAAATAATGAACACAAATAGTTTGAATAAGGTTCAAATCACTAATATTTTTGAGTACCTGCTAATTGCTAGGAACTGTGATAAAACACTTAATGGACTATTAAGTTTAGATGGGCACATTTTTAAATTTCTTCCCAGAATATTTACTTGATCAAAGAATGGATTACATGTGCCGGTATTAAACCTACCAAAATATTTATAATAGTATATTATAACTGCCTTTTTAGTTGTCTGCAGTTCCCTTAAATCATAAACTCCTGCCCGGCGGGTGTGGCTCAGTGGTTGAGTGTCTACCTTGGAACCAGGAGGTCAAGGTTTAATTCCTGGTCAGGGTACATACCTGGGTTGCAGGCTCGATTGCCAATAGGGGTGTGCAGGAGGCAGCTGATCAATGATTCTCTCTTATCATTGATGTCTCTATCTTTCTCTCTCTCCTTTCCTCTCTGAAATCAATAACAATATATTTTTAAAAAACAACCCCAGAGAAAAGCTATTAGAATAAAGAAGAATGGACAGTATTCAGTAGTCTCTTGTGCTTAAGAAATTCTGTGCAAGTCAAATCAAACATGGAAAATGTCTCAGATGCTGAAACATGGAGGGCCTTGGGCCATAAGTCGCACACCATCTGAGCATCTATGGCATAGGATGCTAAGTCTTGGTTGAGTGGGAATTGTGCCATGCTGTGTGTTCTCCTGGGAGACAGGCTGATGATGCCTCTCTGTGAATTCTAGAGTCTCAAGTCCCTGACCAGCCGAGCTCTCTTCATGTGAGGCCCCAGACCAACTGCATCATCATGAGCTGGACTCCTCCCTTGAACCCAAACATCGTGGTGCGAGGTTACATTATTGGTTATGGCGTTGGAAGCCCTTATGCCGAGACAGTGCGTGTGGATAGTAAGCAGCGGTATTATTCCATCGAGAGGTTAGGTGAGTACCTGTGGTTTTCATTCTGTTAAGGAAAAGAAATAATTTACTTAAATTATTTTATTTCTTGAAAAATTTGTTTATTTTTTGAATGTTATTTCAGCTTGCGGCATATATTCTTAAAACAATTCCATTTTTCTGTTTTCTATCCATCCACAACACACACACACACATACACACACACACACACACACACACACACACACACACACACACACACATTTTTCCTCTCTAGATTTTCAATTGGATAATTGTATCTAGGACTATTCACAGGGGTGGGTACCCTTGTGTGTGCCCTTGCTTATGTGTCATAAAGATATGAAATGTATATTAGATCATTTTTCTTTTTCAACTGATAAATGGAAACTTGTAATCTTAACAATTCTTATAAAATGAAAGTCAACATATTTTTCTTACTAGGAAGATAGTCTATCAATTTTCTTTAACCTTGAATTATCTAGTCACGTTACCTCCTTTATCTTTTGCATTTATATATAAAGCTTTATGGCTATGTCATTATGACTGTAAAACAACAAAATGAAAAAAAACAAATTTTCAGTCAAGCCAGTAGCTTAGAGTTATCAAACTCCTCTCTACATATATTTCTGATTCCTCTCCAATCCAAGTTCTCTTCAAATTGTACTCAGCCTTAAGTTTACTTACACAACTGAGTATAGTACTTGAGTTGTGATATTTAGGAATTTATTTAAAACTATCACATATCTTAAGGAGACTTCATTAAGATATTTCACCAACACTGTTGTGGATTCGCAGAGATATACAGTAAACTAATGTTCTTAGAATTTGATGTTACCCCACGAAAGAAAAAATGCATAATTAAAACTTTTAGAGTTTTAATGATCAACTATCACTTTTTTTGAAGTGTTTAACCCCCTTACAGAAAGCTATTTTTAGTTATTTTATGAATATTTAATTCTTATTTGTTTTCATTTTTATTCTCTTTTCAATGATGTTTAGTAGAGGGCAAGGTTGCAGAGGACACATATTTTCAAAATATAGTCTAAGCATAATGAAAGGTACATAAAGGTGGAACTGGATGGCACTTCAACCCTGGGTTTAGATCCATGCTTTTCTCTCTGCCATAATGATTAATCTTGGGAAAGTGGTTTATTTCAGTGAAAATGTGGGAAAAGAGTACCTTTGATCCTTTATTTTATGGTTTTAGGGAGTTAACAGATATTAAAAAGAGTTAATAGAGGAGGAGAGGTTAATCTTTGTAAGACATATAAGTATGAACATTTGCATTGCTGTCATTGCAAAAATATTAAAGTTTTGCCTTAATTAAAATACTTATTTTATAAGGTAAATGTATTGCCTACTTCTAAAGGTTAACGGAGGGAAAGAGGACCTATGTAATCCTTTTAACAATAAAGATTAAAAGAAAAAAATCTCTTTTCTATAATACTAATTAGAAATATTTTTATTTTAGACTGCTTAGTAAAAAAAAGATTAAGAAAATGGGTGTTCTATTTATGATTAAATTTCTTCAGCATCCATTGGTATCAAATGAGGGTTTGAATTCTGTCTCTATCAATGGATCACTGTCATAGGTGGCACAGTGGCTGTAGGACTCTATGAACTTCAGTTTTCTCATCTGCAAAGTGGAATAGTATGCTGCTACCTCACAATATTTGTATGAGATACACTGAGATAATAAAAGTCAAGTTATTTGCAATTTTTAAAGGTAAAACATACATGTAAATAAGGCATTGTTCTTTTTTACCATTTTGTACATCAGCAGTTTAACAAATGTATATAATATAGCTACATGGGCTTTGAATTGTGTTTTTATAAACTATGACATTTATAGTATTCAAGTATGTTATCTTCTTCACCTAAAAGTGGACTATAATCAACACAGTTAAAAATAGTGGACTATGTCAACCTCTTTTAAAGAAATAGTTGAAGGTTCTAGGTTTCTAAACTCAGAACACTCAACAAATGCATGGAATTATATAAAATACTTATTTACGAAAATTAATTAATTTGAATCAAAAATATAAACAACACAGTGACATTCAATTCGTTGTGAAAGGCAAAAAATGTAAATGGTTTGGGCTATAATAGAATGCGGAGAAAATCCTGAGTGGGCGAGTTAGAGTCATTCAACATGAGCATTGGTTGCCAGGGAGGAGTGAGTGGGGGAGAGGAAAGGTCATTCCCTAAGATCATTACTCAGAATAGATCATGAAGAATGGTTTTATCTTTTATGATTTTTTTTAGGTTAGTGTCTTTTCAACCTACAGGCATTTTCTAGCCATCTTTAAGGACAGCTCAGGGGGATTCATTAATAATACATACCCTTCTATTTGTAACTCTTTTCTCATTTTCTACTCCCCGAGGTCCAAAGCACAGGCACTGTCTTACACCTGGTGGATTTTCTAAGGCTATTTGGAAGAATCTTTTAGGAAAGATTAATATTACTATTGAACTAGAGGAGAAAAGACTTCACTGGAGTAAATATATATGTATCTTTCACTAAAAACCTAAAAATCTCCCCTCTTTATTCCCCCTTTTTTAATAACCCTTTCACATTGCATCTTGAGTTTTATAACCTGAGTTCTCACTTGTAAAATCAAATTGATGAAATAAAGCACCATGTGGCCATTCATTCTACCAACATTAAATCCAAGCATTCAATCAAAAATGATTCCTCCATCTTCTGTATTTTAAAAAATACTTTATTTGGGTCAGAATAATCCAAATCTCTTCTTAATTACCCATGTCATTTAATGTTCACGGACAGCGGCTCAGTGCATTTCTCCCATGTACTTTACAGATACCAGTCTATTCCTCCATCCTCTACATTTTGTTAGTGTCAGATATCATCTCAATTTTACTAATGAGGGAAGACAGCAAGAGAACTAAAGTTAACAAGAAAAGTCAAAGCTAATTTTTAATGAGAGAGTTCAATGTTACATTCAGACACTTAGACAAATATTGCCAGAAACAGCGAAGACCCGGCTTTTCGGAATGGAGGAAGGAAGCTGGGGTCGAATCTGAGCCTGACTGGAAGCTGGTACACACTGCTGCAGAGAAGTCACACTTCCCCCACGAAAAAACAAGGGCTTCTGGGAAATCATAGCTCTTTAATGCAACAGCAGAATACTATAGTGAGAGAGGGCACAGTCCTAAAATTTCCGATCAAACACAGCTATAGCTCCAGGCATGAATCTCAGAGTTTAATCATGGAGCTCTGAGAATTGTTATCCTGTGAGCTAGGGTTAGGACTGACTTCGAGGGGAAAAGAAAAACAACAGAAGAAGAGATGCCTGAGCTTTTGCTTTATTAAGCAATTATCCTTGTGAATATTTTTCTTTCCTATTAGTTCCACCAGTTTCTGCCCCTGTGTAATTTGAGACTCTGTTATAAGGTGCATAATTATTTAGGGTTGTTATGTCCTCTAGATGAATTAACTGCTTTATCATTTATAAACTTATTTTTCTTTATCAATGCTGATATTCTTTGCTCTGTAATCTGCATTGTGTCTGATATTAATGACAACTCCAGCCTGATTTTTGTTTGTAGGCTAGCATGATACCTATTTGTCCTTCAAACTGTTTATGTATTTATATTTAAGTGGACTTTTGTAGGCAACATGTAGTTGGGTCTAGCTTTTTCATCCAATCTAACAGTCTATGAATTTTCATTGAGGTGTTTAGGCCATTTACATTTAATGTTAATATTGATATGATTGGGTTTATATCTACCATCCTACTATTTGTGTGTGGTGTTTTTTTTGTTGTTCTGTCTGTTGTCCCATATGTTCTTTATGCCCCTTTTACTTCTCTTTCTGAATTTTGGGGGGATTACTTATTTTTAATCATTTATGTTCCATTCTTGTGGGCTCATTAACTATAACTCTTTTGCTTCTTTAGTGCTTGCTTCTAATTTATAGTATGTATATTTGACATATCACTGTTGACTTCACAAAAAAATATTATTGAAGTTTATAATGCATTGCTATTATTCTTTCTTTAATCAAATATTTTAAAGGATAAATAATAAGCAAAAGATAAGTCTATAATGCATTGCTATTATTCTTTCTTTAAATAATCAAATATTTTAAAGGATAAATAATAAGCAAAAGATGTGTTGTGTATATAACTATGTAGTTAAGCATTTTTAGTGCTCTTCATTCCTTTGTGCTAATTCAGATTTGGGACAGGTATCATTTTCCTTTATTCGTGAATGACTTCCTTATAATGGAGTTAGGTTGGTGATAATTTTTTTTAAATTTTTGTACATCTAAAAATGTTTTCATTTTACCATTTGCAGTGGAGATGGAATTCTAGGTCAATAAATTTTATTTATTTTGCTATTTTTAATGGTATTACTCTACTTTAATATCTCTTATATTGTCTTGTTTCCAAGAAAACTGCTGTAATCATTCTTATCTTTGTGCCTCTACACATAGTATGTCTTTTTTCTGTGGTTGCTTTGAAGATTTTTTTCTTTGCCACTACTCTTACACAATTTTATTATGATGTCTCAGTATTGTATTCTTTATGTTTCTTCTGCTTGAAGTTCAGTGAGATTCTTGAATTTCTGGGTTCATAGGTTTTATAAAATTTGGGAAATTTTTGGCTATTAGTTTTCAAGTAGGTTTTTTTTTACACTCTTACTCCTCTCAGTTGGGGACTTCATTTACACATATGGAGCTTTTGGTTGCATACAGCTCACTGATTCTTTGTTCATTATTTTCGGTCGTTTTTGTCTGTGTTTCATTTTTTATAGTTATCATGTCTTTAAAGCAACTTATTTTTCCCTGAAGTGGCTATTCTGATCTTAATCCCATCTGGTATGTTTTTCATATTACACACGACAGTTTTTATCTCTAGAAGTTTGGTTTGGGTCCTTCCTATATAGTCCACATTGTAGTCAATGTACTCAAATTTTCCTCTACCTTCTTGAACATAAGGAATGCTCTCATCTACAGATTCTTTTATCTATGTCGTTTTGAGTCCATATCTATTTTATTA